TCGTTTTTTGACGTCACATTTAGTATGTGTCATTTTATCTCATTTTTTACATCATAATTTGGTGTGTGTCATTTTTTCCTCATTTTTGACATCATAGTATGTGTCATTTTGGTTGTTTTTTGAACAAAATGACACATACTAAATGTCATCTTTAGTATGCGACCAAAATGTCACATACAAAAGTATGTGACATTTTGGTCATTTTTTCCACATACTAGTTTAGTATGTGTCATCTTAGCTCATTTTTGACGTCATGACGTCGAATATGTCCAAAAATGACAAACTATACTATGATGTCAGAAATGTCCAAGAAATGACATTTTCGACATCATAGTCGAAAATGACTATGATGTCATTTTCGACTATGATGTCGAAAATGACAAGTCATAGTGTGTCATTTTTTGGACATTTCTGAAGTCATAGTTTACTATGATTTTGGAAATATCAAAAAAAAGTGACACTTTTTGGACATTTTCGACGTCATAGTTTACTACATACATACATATAGTTTTCTGTCGACATCATAGCATAGTGTGTCATTTTTTGGACATTTTTGAAATCACCGTAAACTGTCGAAAATGTCATAAAAATTGCACTTTTTGGGATATTTTGCGACATAGTAAACTGATGTCGAAAATGTCCAAAAAGTGACATTTTAGGACATAATATATCACTTTTAGGACATTTTCGACATCATATCGAACATGTACTAAAAATGACTTTTTTGACATTGCGTAGTATGTCATTTTCGACGTCATGCAGGAATGTCTTGTAAGTGAAATAATCTGCCAGTGAACTAGAATTTTCTGTTACTCAAAAAATATCCTCTTGCTGAAAACTCACCTGTATGTTAGTTTTGTCCTTTTCAAAGGTCACAAGATTTGAGCCAGATACTAGACCAAAAATGTTGTAAAATTTTGTTCTTGCTGTTACTGTGGGATTAACCGTAGACGAATTTACAACCAGTTCACCAAGTCTAATATATGTAAAAATTCTTTCCACATCTGCAGATGATGAAGGCACAGATGTAGATCAGAACATTCTAGATGCTCTTCTCTTCAACACCTCTCGTATCGGGCACGGCTTTGCTCTGGCACACCACCCTCTCGCCAAAGAGCTTTCCAGGAAGAGGAACGTAGCTGTGGAGCTTTGCCCAATCTCTAACCAGGTATCCTGTCAGAGCTGCTGGATGAGAAGGACATGTTTGTTTCTATGGTGAAACCATCTGGGTTTGTGACTCCTGTGCAGGTGCTGAAGCTGGTGTCGGATATGAGGAACCACCCTGCAGCCGTTCTGATGTCCGAGGGTCACCCTCTGGTGATCAGCTCAGACGATCCCGCTCTCTTCGGCTCAACTGGACTCTCCTACGACTTTTACGAAGCTTTTGTAGGAATCGGAGGTCTGAAGGCAAATCTGGGCACCCTGAAAGAGCTGTCCGCCAACTCCATCAGGTCAGTTCATGATGCTCAAGGGATATATTTTTTTTTACAGTCGTCCATAATAATTTGAATGAAATCACATTTAACACGTTTTTCTTTCACTTTTTATTTTTACAATTTGTAGATAAATTTACAGAGATTGCAAATACCCATATTTGGGTTCATAGAAAAGATCCCAGATAATGGATTTAGATAAATATTTGTCATGTTTGAATTGCTGCAGAGTATTTGTTAGAAAGATGAAATCTCCTGTTTTGGTGTTTGTTAGCTTTCAGTCGTCTGTCATTGATGTGAAGGAACAGAGGATTTTCTGCTTTTATGTAGTTGCTGGGACCATCACACACAAAATCATTATTCTTTCACATCAGTGACAAGAGACGACTGAAGGAAGCTAACAAACACCAAACAAAACAGGTGATTTCATCTTTCTAACAGTCACATAGTGAGAATCAGTCACTATGTGACTACTCATGAGTACATGAGTAGAAGTCGAGTCAACTTCTACTCATAGAAGTTGACATGACTTCTACATGAGAAGTTGAGTCAACTTCTACATGAGTAGAAGTTGACATGACTTCTACATAGAAGTTGACTTCTACTCATGTAGAAGTTGAGTCAACTTCTACATAGAAGTTGACTTCTACTCATATAGAAGTCAACTTCTACTCATGAGTAGAAGTCATGTCAACTTCTACTCATGTAGAAGTCATGTCAACTTCTGAGTAGAAGTCGACTTCTACATGAGTAGAAGTTGACTTCTACTCATGTAGAAGTCAACTTCTACATGAGTACTCATGAGTACTCATGAGTAGAAGTTGACATGACTTCTACTCATGAGTAGAAGTCATGTCAACTTCTACATGAGTAGAAGTCCT